ATATGAACAGCACAGAATCCATAATTTAGTCGCTCCATAGACGTATGAGGTTGCCACTTTTTGAGAGGGGCTGTTGGTTTGTCAGCCGTTGTTGAAGGTTGGGAATTTGGTATTTTGTATGAACTGGTTAAATGTATTTTCACATTGTATGCATGTTGGTTTTAATTATGTAGGCCCAGACCTGAAGAAATATTCATAAAAAGTACCTTAAATTTTTCAGGAACATCCGTAGACCTTTATTCTGTTAAACAGGTGTGGGTTTGGTTATTTTTCAACTGAAGTGTATAATACTCGTGTATGGATGTATGATATGCGATTAAAAACCTTAAAAAATAAATAAATAAGGAATGCTATTTAAATACATCACATTTTTGGATCGTTTTGGGGGTTACTTCAGGAGTTCTTTGCTTTAGGCTTAACCCTCTTAAAATGTCCTTAACTTTTTAATTTCTATGTAAACGCCATCATTAATTCCATTGGAAATTTTGCGTGGTAACTGGTTATAATACGTAGGCCTCCGTCATGCAAACACGATACAACAAGGTCCAAACCGTACCAACGAAATCCCAACTCAGGGGGCGAGTCGGCCTAGGAGGTGAGATTGTAAGGGGCGAGTCGGCCAGCGTATTTTTTTTTCTGCAACATATATCGTATTTTAACCAATCACGAATCCTAACATGAATATTTATCACGCTGTCTAGATGGAAGACACTTAGGTTCTATTAGTGTTTTCCCTTCAATTAAACTTATCCCAACCAACAAAGCTATGTAATGAATTGGGACACGGGTGCCGGGGTCGAACCACAGACCTTGCGATAATAATTCCACTATACGCCACTGTAGCAGCTCGACGAATAGTCTGAGTATCACCCGTTATATATCCACGGAGTAAGTCTCCTGCATAACGTCTGATATGTCTAGACAAGCAGACATACGCAAGCCGCGCGCCAGCCAATCGGAGGAGACTACATCGTGACGTCATTTCATTCCCAAATCAGGACTAACATGGTTTGATTGGTCAATTCGAATGCAGTGTTTTGTAATACAACATTGTCTATGACGCGCAGCGGGTGAATGACCGAAGACCCGATATAGAAAGCGCCCGCTGATTGGTCAAAATTTAGAGGTCAAGAGGCGGTTGTCTTGCCTAATTAATCAGCGAATCTGCTCACTATCATAGACCGTACCACGACATTCGCCGTGGTCTATAACATACCACTCGACGAAAGCCGTTCTTTAAATGCTATACATGCATGACTCTTATGAATATACATCAAACTAGCTGAACAACCATGATCCATTGACGGTGTGTGCTGCAAATAAATCACCGCAGTCGGCCAGGGGGCGAGTTGACATGACACCGAAAAGTTGAAACACGACGTTTTAAAGTAGAAGTACGACTTTGAAAAGCTGAACCACGATAGACCGTACGCGGGCAATGGGCCCCAAACCCTTCAGATAAGACGTTTCGTAGTCCCCTTCTTGGTAGAAGTCAAAACCTTTTTTTCGAAATTCATAAAAGTATATAGAAAGCACAGAGATATTTTGTTCCCCTTGCACCTCCCCCTTCGTTTCTGTTTGGGGGGCAACTAAGATCAAACCGGAGCCACGCAGGGGTCAAAGTTGAAAATTATTCCAATTATTTCAAGAATATATAAATTTACTGTTCTGGTCAGAAGGAATACAATGATCTATAGTTTGCCATATCTCCAAACGTCATTTATACCGCTATGGACAAAAACATGGAAAGGTCACCTGACTTTGACTTCGGGGTCAAATTTATCAACATGGTCAAGATGGTGCAATTGTTCCTGACATAATAAATTCCACTATACAACTTAAAAAAATCAAAATAATGATCTCCACCTTAAAATTTCAAAGTAACACAATACATGCAGGATTTTACACCCAACATTGCTGGCGGGCACAATTTGAAATTTCAGGGTGAAGATGGCCATTTGATTGTTTTAAGTTGCATCGTTGAATTTGTCATTTCACAAAACATATAATAATTATTATTGGACACCAAAAGCATTCAAATTGCATTATCTTGACCATGTTGATAAATTTGACACCCCGAACGGTCAAAGTCACGTGACCTTTCCATGTTTCTGTCCATAGGGACATAAGCGACATAACCAGCCAACCGATTCCGTTAGCTCGGTAGTCGAGTGGTAAGACGTCTGCACTAGAAAGCAGGAGGTCGTGAGGTCGTGGGTTCGAGTCCCACCCGAGTGATTTCTTTTCCAACTTTCACTCGGGAGGCAGCACACTGAGTATACAGTTTTTATACGTCGGTGAAGGGCAAAACCTAATCTGATTGACATAAGTGAAGTTTGGATATATGGCAAACATTAATTTTTGTATTTCTTATGACCAGACGCGTAATTTGATATACTTCTTGCAATAATTGGGATAATTTTCAATTTGACCCCTTGCATGACCCCGGTTTGACCTAAGTTGACACCTAAAAAGAAACGAAGGGGTAGGCATGAGGAGAACAAAACGTTTTTGTGCTTTCTATATAATTTTAACAAGGGTTTTGACTTCCGCCTGGCAAAACTTAAGCGGTGGTCACATCTTACGGTAATGAACGTAGTTGAACGTAGTTCATTTGACCGTAGTTGACCGTAGTGTAACAACGGTCAACTAGGGTGAAGTAGGGTCGAAGTAGGTTCACAATTGGCAAAAGTGCAAATATAAAGAACGGTTTAGTAGGGTGAAGTACGTGCAACTACTGTCGACTACGTTGATCTACGTTGATCTGCGGTCAAATCGGCTAGGGTTAACTAGGGTTGAACTACGTCAACTACGTTGAATTACGGTCGAACTACGTGTGAACTACGTGCAACTGTGGTCAACTATACGTTGTACTACGGTAAAAGCTCGCGACCGCGCCTACGTAGTGTGGGTCGGCCACGGCGTGGGGACAGCCATTGCGCTTTGAGAAGTCAGAAGGACAAAACTGCTGTTTGTTTATATCTGAACTTTTGTTTCTCATTCACCCTAGTTCAACTACTTATCGAACTAAACCGTACTGTGACCGTACTGTGAACGTACTTAAAACGTAGTTCGACCGTAGTTGACCGTACCTCAACTGTATAGTGCCATGGTTACTACGGTCAACTAGGGTCAACTACGGTCAACACTACGGTCAAGTAGGGTCAACTATGGTCCACTAGGGTTGACAACGTACATACTATAGGATCACAGTACGGTATAGGCATTCACGCTGACCGTAGACATATTTTCAACATGTTGGAAACTTTTGGGCTAACTACGGCCAAATCATGGCTTTCCTCCAAGGTCAAAGTACGTTCATAACTACGTTTAACTACGTTTAACTACGACTAATAGGGTCTTCTACGGTCAACTACGGTCACACCCTACTAAGTTCAACTACGTTCATGACCGTTAGTCTGAGTAGCACCCATTCTCCACAGAGCCTTATCTATCTCCGGGTGAACGTCTGACATCTCCTGACATGCAAATTTATGTGAATCGCGCGCCAGCCAAATCGGTGTCGACTTTACTAAATCGTGACGTCATTTCATTCCCAAATCAGGACTAACGCTTTGATTGGTCAATTCGAATGCAGTGTTTTGTAATACAACAACAGCCAGGAGCGCATTCGCGTAACATTATAACGAGCGCCGTGACAGTTTTTTTTTTTATCCATGTCCACAGTGACGCGCAACGGGTGAATGACCGAAGACTCGATAGGCCTATGCGCCCGCTGATTGGTCAAAATCTAGGAAGTCAAGAGGCGGGGTCTGTCTTTATATAGAGATCAGTGGTCTTGACCTATCGCCGTTTGCGAGTAATTGGCCACGCCCCTTAGACAACCCTATCCGGTTCGTTAGTAAAAACGTCATACACGCGCGCACACCACTGATTACTAGCGCCCATTGGCTGCAAACGCTCGAGCTGCGTTAACTTCCGGTTCCAATTGTGCAGAAAGTGCTGGAGGTGACGTCACACTAACGAACCGGATGGAATTTTTGGTTTTGTTCTTGTCTCAGATGTTGCGCGCTCCGCGTCCATTTGTATGTCATGTAATTGGACAATATTTCGCAACCTGCGTTTCACGCGATTCTAAACGCGATTCCACCGCTTAAATGTTGCAGCAGCAGGATTCCAGAAACGCGCATACCAGAAACCGGAGCCTTTTTTTTGGGCCTTAGCGAACAATACTATCGCCGAAGATTTAAATCTACAAAACGCTCGTTGGAAGACTACTGTTGCAAAAAAATTACATATGTTAAGAGAGACGTATAAGCAAACATCTTCAAGTGTCCAGAGTTGTGAAAGCATAAAAGTTAATTGAAATGGAATGAGATTGTCGTGCTAAGAGGCGTGTGCTGAATGTATACACGAAGCCGTGTTACTAATATGAATTAATTTAAGAGAGTTGCAGATTTATGTTATCGGTTGTAATGTAATTGACATTGTCTTGGCCGTGAAATGAGGGCATTTGCCCCAATGAACACAAGAGGCTTTCGTATTGTAAGAAATCGTCCAGTTACATGTGTTGTAACAATGTTATCTTTTTATTAATGTTTAGTTCATGCTGACCAAGACGGTCTTGAAAGTGGCTTGTGTGTTATGGTGTTTCCAGGCAGAAAACCTGAAGGGCCGAGATGGCCGTGGCCGGGCAGTATACCTGGCTATTGTGTGATCTGAAACTGTTCATTATTTTTGTTTTATATTTCTTTATGAATAATTCAAATATATACTTGTCATTGATACTGTCAGTTAAATCCCAGTGTAATAATTACCGTGAATATTCAGCATCATTGTGCATGCAAGCCTACATCCCATGCCAGTGTCTGAATAAAATTAATATATCCTTTTATTGTGTTAGAACTGATCTGAATAACCTTGAGTTATTTTCATGCGTGTGCGTATGTATGAGTGCAGCGAAATAGCATGAAACAAAAATCATTACCAACTTGACTGCAGTCTACCGTTCACGCGAACTTGCGGCGAAGTAACACTATAGAGGGCGCGCTTTAGTTTAAACTAAATACATCGATTATAATCGACAGATATATCGAGAAGAATGTCATGATCGACCGTACATTTTCCAAATTTCAGTTACTATAGCCAGGCTGTATCATCGTATTCGTACTATTTGTTGTAGTAGCTGTAGGCCTACTTATTAATTAAAAGAAAAAAAAACAATTGATGATAACCTCTCCGACTGATATTGGCACGGCTAATGCACGCTGGTAAGTTCATTTCAGTGAAAGATTCCCATATGTGGCCATCACTAGTCTTAGCCCCATGTGGCCAATTTACTAGACTACCTCCGTAAATAAAGGCCACACTTCCACCATGTAGTAGCCTATGTACAAATACATGTCAAACTTTGTCAAATTTTGATTTTCACGTTTAGGCTTAGTTTGGTTTAGAAGCATACTCACCATTATACTATAGGCTAATCAGAAAGTGCTGCCTTTTTCAGATGTCTATTTTTCGTGAAATTTCCAGATTCAATTGCACACGTTAGCGTATCAACATTTTCAACATGAAATTTCACGAAAATTAGACATCTGAAAAAGGCAGCACTTTCTGATTAGCCTATGAAGAGGGTGAGTATGCTTCTAAAGCAAAAATAAACTACAAACTAAGCCTAAATGTGAAAATAAAAAGTTCAACATGTGTGTGTTTGTACATGGTGGAAGTGTGGCCTTTATTTACGGAGGTAGTCTAGTAAATTGGCCACATTAATGGGGCTTGCCATAATTTAGCCCCATAAATGCGGCCAATTTACTGGACTACCTCCGTAAATAAAGGCCACACTTCCACCATGTATAAAAACATGTCGGACTTTGTCAAATTAAACATAACTCAGTCATAACATTAACATGCCTCTAGTCATAACATGCACTCAGTCATTCGCGATGCTATTAAATGATCGACTTCAAATAGAACAAAAGTTCCTAAAATGTGAAAAATAATAATGATTTCGGTGCCGCACTGTCATGGCCGGCTGTGGTGTGGTTATTGCGTGCTTAAGCCGATCAGCAAATCAGATTAATCCTTGATTATTCATGCTGAGTAGGACATCCAACAGCCGTTGGGTCATGGCCAATAGCCTGTAGAGTTTTGGTTCTGGTAGATCACTGCATAATATTCTCAGCAGGGATGTAATATGCAGGCGCGAGGTGACTGAGCAGATATTTACATGAAGTGGGCCCCCCTGATGATGTCATCTATGTTAAGAGATTGAAGTTTCGACTTGAAAATTGCAGTGCTTGGTGCTTGACGTATTTCCGGTGGTAATTTATTCCATTCAGCAAAAGTTCTTGGGAATAATGAGAACTTGTAGCAATCTTTATGTGCGGATGGTTTGATAAAAGAGATTGCTGCCTGTTGCCTTGTAGAATGGTTAGGTTTGGCCCAACCTCGTCCCCAGTGCTTACTTTATTTCCAACCGCGTTTCCAATAGTAAACCCTGGATAGGAAACTTTCTTCCTGTATCCTGATTGGATACCGCAATTGGCTAGTAATGGATTTTTATCGTGTACTTGGTGCTATATATTCGCAACGTGCAGTACGTGTTTTCGCGATCATTCGTCCACGCCTTCTCGAAAATACTCATTTCCTTTCCAATTTGTTCATATTAATATGAAATATGATACTGCATGTTGTCTCGATAAGATTGTAACAGTTTGATTTCAAAAATCGTGTTTTCGTAACTCACGCCGTGCTCGCGCTGCTACGAATTGACTCTGTTTTTACCCCAGACACCCCATACAAAAACAAACGCTAATGTGTAACGCATATCCAGGCACCAGACTGTTCCTCATTTGCATACGTGTGCAAAAATCTTGCACATGCAAATGATCCAATACCAGGGTGAGAGAGCAGGTAGTGGTGGGCGCGTACTGCTCGACACCCTGGGGACGAGGTTGGGTTTGGCCTGGTATGAGTCCGTATTGATGGCAACGATTTTGTTGACAGATTTGTAGAGGAGGGTCAATCTCTGGGCAGCTCTACGATGTTCCAAGGGCTCCCATTCCAGTTGGGACAGCATTTTGGTGACGCTCTCCCTCTTTGTGTTGTTGTTGAGGACAAATCTGGCAGATCGTCGTTGAACCCCTTCCAGCTGTAATTTATGTTCCTTATGATGAAGATCTCAGACTGATGAACAGTAGGCCTACTCTAGATGAGGTCTGACTAGTGTTTTATAAGCCCTCGCTTTTACTTCAGAAGAACAGCTGTACAGATTTCTACGTAGCAGTCCTAGGATTTGGTTAGCTTTTGCGGTGACACTTTGAATATGAGTTGCCCAGCTGAATTGTTGTTGATTCCGATTCCTAAGTAAGTGTGGTTGGTTACAGCTTGTAGTGTCATATCCCCCAGCTTGTAATCTGCTAGAATTGGCTTCTTTTTGTGGGTAATTTCCATGGTGTAACATTTACACTTGTTAAACTTCATTTGCCATCGTTGTTCAAATGTGCAGAGGTGGTCAATATCATTTTGAAGATCCTGGCTATCATTTAGGCCTATTTTGTCTATCTGTCCGTAAAGGATACAGTTGTCTGCAAATAGATGTACTTTCGATGTAATTCCATTTGAGATGTCAATACTGTACTGTGTATATGCAGAATGTACTACCGACCTGACAGCTGTTGGATGTCCTACTCAGCATGAATAATCGAGGAATAATCTGATTGGCTGATCAGCTCAAGCACGCAATAACCACACCACAGCCGGCCATGACAGTGCAGCACTGGACGATTTTTCTGAAGCAGAGCCACTGAATTTGTATTTTATTAACTTTTGTTCTGTTTGAAGTCGATCATTAGCATCGTGAATGACTGAGTGCATGTTATGAGGTATGCTTAATGGAATCTGGGTTGGGATAGAGGGAAAAAAGGACCATTTCGTGGAGGCCGTTTTTTAAGGGTCTCTTACGATCTCACTTTTACAATGTACATCTGTCTCCAGCGTTACATGTGAATTCCTGATGAGCTTGTTAAGCTGGAGTTACTCAAGCCATTCACAGATATGGAATTCCTGAACCCCCGGTTGCATAGGACACATAGAATACTAAGACGTAAAAATTGGCTTCTCCGACAAGGTAAAAATCTTGGTCATAAATTTGTTTGCCCTGTTTTGAGCACTCCGTAACGTAGGGAGGAAAGGGAGTCCACCTGGGCTAGGTATTCTCTTTACAAGTAAAAACATGCAGGCTAGTGAAAGTGCCCGCAGGCTAGTTAAGAGTCTGTTTCAGTAGCCCAGCTGGCTATTTAAAAAAAAAAGTAAAGGTCGAACCCGGAGTAACCCCTTATACAATTTTGAAAATTGAAATGGCTACGAAATCAGTTTTACGTCTTCTCTAATTTGACACAAATAGTGGCTTTTCAATCCTTTTAAACAGAAATCGCGTGCAGTCCCTATACATTGTACCTTCAAACCTGGTGGTTTCCTGCCAAAAACTGTCCGCTAGGCATGCACAGTAGATGCAGGACACATCTAAATAGTGTCCGAGTGTTGCCCTGCAATTTGTTAATTTCCATGTCTTATACAAAAGTTATAGGCCCATGGCTACTTCAATAATTAGAAGGCACCTGTGTGCCTTCTAGCACTATAATTTGTTGGGTCTTTGTAATGCTATGGGGGGGGGGGGGGTTTGAGACAGTGAAATTCTAGATGCAAGTAATTCGTCTATCAAAGTTCCAATATCCTTCCCATACAAATATCAAAAACATGATAGTGCCAGAAGGTACATAGTCCGAGTATGACCTGTTATCCACGGAGCAAGTCTCCTTTTAACATCTGATATATCTAGACATGCAGATATATGTGCAAGCCACGTGCCAGCCAATCAGAGTCGACTAAAACTAAATCGTGACATCATTTCATTCCTAAATCAGGACTAAATGGTTCAATTGGTCAATTCAAATGCAGTGTTTTGTAATACAACAACAGCCAGGCGCATTATCGCGTAACTTGATACAGAGCCCGTGACATATTTTTTTGATGTTATCCATTGTCTATGACGCGCAGCGGGTGAATGACCGAAGACCCGATATAGAAAGCGTCTGCTGATTGGTCAAAATCTAGGACGTCAGGAGGCGGGGTCTTGCGTAATTAATCAGTGAATCTGTTCATGCATAATAGACCACGGCATTTGCCGTGGTCTGTTACATATTAACATAGCTGCCAACTATTAAGATTTTTTTGTAATTATTACTAATTGTTTGTTAAATTACGACAATACTATTTGCCACTAAAACATTACGAATTTCCCATTTTCTCCCCTACAAAAAAATCGTTTTTGACCGAAAACTTCTGGCGAAATGTTGCGATAATAGATGGACTGGTGACAAGTCTAATTTATAAGCAATGCGGTCAAGCACCTGATAGACATCAATGCAGTGTGCGCAGTGGAGTATTTGAGGACCAGACTAAAATTATTTTTCAATGGTGTGCCATTTGTGTGCATCTTGTGGATGGGTGGTTGGGTGTGTGTACTGTATGTGTGAGTACTTTTCATTGACGATCGTGAGCACATTTGGTCGCTTATTGCCGGGATGAGACCCATCAGTGCGAGATTTTAATCATGGAATTTAATAAGACTATGGTTGAAATAATTGGTAATAGAGTTTGAGTTTATCACAACGTCCAGAAAAGATAAATCAGCAAGCGTTTGCAAGGTATGTTGGCGGGATATTTCTATTGCATACGGTGGCCCTAAATCATTGTGTGTAAATTAAAAACACGATACAAACTCGAAACTCAACATTGATAGCATGCATCTCCCAAAAAAAAAATGCGCACATGTTATTATTGTTATTATTTATATGACTTCAACAAACAAATACAGACAGTAAAACAAAATGAATTTAAAAAAAAATATTATTATTATTATTATTTTTTTTAAAATTATCTTTTTGCCTACAGTACATTATTATTCACAACGAGAATGGTATGCACATGTAAACCATGTACCTGTACTCGATGTTGGTAAAGCTGATACATACACTTTTGATAATAGGAGCAGTTGAAAATGACCGCGCAGGTTGATTACTAATTGGGATTTTTAAAAGTTGGCAGCTATATGCTAGAAGGTACACGGCCCTTCTAAGTTTAGAAGTAGCCCATGTAGCTATGTTATAATGTGCGAGTAAACTCCAGAGGAGGTTTCTGCATAGTACATTAAGTTGATGATGACAATGACACTGTCATAGCCTGAGTAACTTGGGGCCTACTATTACTACTTTAACATTTGGACATGGTGTGGTGATAGTAGGGCCCAAGTGGAATGTCAGACATGGCTTCACAGATAATAAACAACCCAACAAAAATATCAGATTTTACCCTCAAAATGGCCACAGAATTACCAGATACTCCAGAGATACAAGTAGAGACTGACAATTAAGATCAAGGTACTAAGGTTTAATATGATCTGGATGAAAAGTGAAATTGTCCGTTCAATTCCAAGAGCTCCCCTCGCATTTGTGGACACGTTAAATGCCGGAATCATTTGAACATTTAAATGGCGGGGCAGTGGAGTCGTTATGGTCGTGCCCTCAACATACCGGTAGAGTGCAATTTTGTTATGATAACGTATAGACTGAATCTCTTTTGTTGTGCATTTCAAATAAGAATCGGGAACTAGGGCAGCTTGAACTGGTTTCCGCTCATTAATTCTGACTGTACAAGGGAACCAGTGTAGGGTATGCATCATATGAGAATGGTATGCATCATGGGACAACAATTTAATGGCATTCGATGTTGAGTGTGATCAATAAACGTTTTCGTTCACATCACCGCGGTTCAAATCTGATCCCCATTTGATCCTGGCAAGCTCAGTGGTCAAGTGGTAAGATGTTTGCACTAGTAAGCAGGAGCACATGGGTTCAAGTACCACCTGAGTGATTTTGTTCTCACAATCACTCAGGACAACACTGAGTATTCTGGACATCATTTGATGCATGGGGCCGCTGTTCAAAACTATTTATATACATATTTATGTTCATAAATATGTATGCCGGTACGTTTTACGGCTATTTCCAAGGGTTTGCAGTCTATATACATTCAATGTACACATCATTGTCAAGGAATTTACAGGGTAAGTTTTGTGAAATGGATTATACGACGCCAGTTGGATGTGATACGCATTGCAACTCGAATTACAACGTGTTACAGTACTTCGTGAAGTCACATTTAACTGCCATTTCATGTGTAGTATTTGAGTAACTGTGATTGCAATTTCAGTAACTGGGATTGTTATGTTTACATACATTGGGATTGTTATGTTTACATACTATTGGAATTCTCTTCACAGAGGTGAACTGGGTGAGGAGGAGGATATTCATCCATCATGTCTCTCAAGCCAAGGGTTGTCAACTTCGAGCAAACCTGGGACAGGTTGTTGGAGACGGTCAAAGGAGTAATTCAGCTAGGAAATGTCAAGAGGAAAATATGGAATGATCGTTTCTCGTATCCTTTGACAAAATTGTATTTCATTTAAAAAAATGGAAAGATCAAAGCAGGGTTTTGTTTGACGGGCAATTTTCTGTGGGGTTGCCAATTATTAAGAAAAAAATATGTATGATACTCATTTGTAACTATTTTGATGTGCTGAGGGAAAAAGAGTTTTTGTAATGTTCGATGAAAACCTGCCAGATACTTACACCACTGTCAAGTGCAGTTGAAGACTGGTGGCGAGTGAGTTACTAAAGGTTTATTCAATACAAATAACTCATTGAGCGGATCATAGTTCACTCCTGTACTTACAGAGGTGGACAATGAAAAAGATGAATTATAGCTAAAAAATACTGTGGCAAAGTTACTGACATATGTTAAACTAGGCTAAGGCCATTCCAATTTTAGTATTTGTTCTACGGATTTCGGCGACCTAAATTGTTGAAAAATGAAAAAAAAAAAAATATATATCGGAAACACAGATTTTTATTTTTATTTTTTTCCCCTGGCGACGGATATAGAACATTAATCAGAATAATTAATAAAAACCGCCAACAACACTTTTTTTACTTTTTTCAGTCCATTCTTATAACTTATCTCTCATCTGTGAAAGTTTCAATCCAGTACTTAAGCAGAATTAACAAAGTTTACAGAGTAAGAAAGAGTAAAGAAATCAGCAAATTCTGGGTTTCCAAGCACGCGGGCGATGGCACCTGTTATAGTGTGAAAATACAGGGTATGAAAAGGGGTGGGTTAATGGGCTACCTATTGAGGGGTCCAACGAAAGAAACTGCAAAGAATTGCCAAAATGGCAAAAAAAAAATATTTCAGTGGCATATTTGTGATCATATCCATCTTATTTATGAGGTTTAAACTTCAGTTTTATCTTTGATTTAGGGTGATTTTTGAAAGAATGCCATGCGTACATCCCTTTTAAAAATGATGTGTTCCGAACAGCTGCCATCCGGGAACTTTTTACATCGATTTATGGTCAAGTTTCCAGTATACATTCGCACTTGCTGAATACGCGAGGTAATTGGGAACTGACTATTATGCACAATAGTGTAGAAAACTGACTATTATGCACAATAGTGCAGAAAACTGACTATTATGCACAATAGTGCAGAAAATGTGTGTTGATGAAGCACGTTTGTCATGTGCCGAAAAATCATCAGGTTACAAGAGGGTTTTGTAACTTTTCTTTCCGAATGTCTGAGCTTATTATTTTCGGTATTCATGATGGTTTAGAAAGGATCTTTCTGAGATTATTGAAGAATGTGGGACTGCAATCGAAACATTTTGACAGCCGTGACACTACACAGCTCGGCCGATATACATGCATAGATAGAGCAATGGTTGTCATGCTTGTAATATTGTAATCGATGGCATGGCCGGCTGTTGACATTTACAGATTCTCTGAGCCAGGATATCAAACACGTCTTCAAATCACTTTTAACACTAATAATTAAAATATAAATTGTTTCATTTTTAGGGGATTTATGTTTTGTTCAGATTTTGTTCTTGTTTTGTTTGCTGTCAGTGTTACTTGTTTTTTTTTTCTCTCCATATTGACAGTCCTGACAATAGGCCTAGCATGCATTGTGAATATTATTCTAATGTCAAGTTTCCATGGCAAAGGTTTGAATTCAGCAGAGGAAGAAATCTGAAGTTGTAGGCATTTGTCTGTATATCAAATGTTGAACATTTTTGGGAAATCGGATATTAACTAATTTTCCAAATCAGATATTCACTATTTTCCAAATTTGTTTTCCTAAATCTACTGAGAAATGGTGCCATACCCATATCACAGGGCAATCGGTCATCCGAAAAAACCCACATTTTTTGATAATTTAAAATTCTGTATCTCCAGAACGGAAAGTCAAATTTTCTTCAATAAAGTCTGATATTAATATATGTACGGCCACTTGAAGAGACCTTTTCAGTGATACTCCTTGATGCAATAGGAAGCCTTTAAACATGTACCTGAAAATCCTACTGGTATTCTATTTAGCGTATACATACATACATACATACATACATACATATACATGTACATACATACATGTACATGTACATGTACTTATCATCCGAGGCCAATTTTTAATATTTTTCCCCCTGTGACGACCCTTCTCAGCCCCTAAAAAAATCTGTGAAACAACTAATTAATTGGAATGGCCTTACCTTCACAAGGTGGTAAAGTTGAATGTCTTTGTTTTGTTACTTTTAAGAGATGAAATCTTTTTCCGATTTTAGTCAGAAAGCTGCCTTTTTCATATTTCCTTCCAAATATTCGAAATTTGAAAGGAAAAAGAACAATAGAACAAATAAAGTATGTATGCAGTGTTAAGTGGATCCTACTACCACTTTGACTAACCCTGTCCAGAGGTTGTCATGACGATACATACTTGACTTTCCTTAACTCCATCAAACAGTGATGTTTATGCACTGTGTGTTGCTTTTCCTGAGCCACACAGCAACCGTTTGTATGAGGAAACCAAAATCTTCCTAGAGGAACATGTGCAAACATTATACAAGGTTTGTAACGTTACTTTACTTGTTTTGTATGCATGAACTTTACAACAAAACAAGTAAAGTTTTGCATGATTTCATGTTTGTTGACAGGATGTTGTCCAGGCTGCAGATGGTCTTCTTACTATTTATCACCGACATTGGCAAGAGTACAGCAGAGGAGCAAGCTATCTAGATCAGCTGTATTCGTAAGCTAATACTTCCCCTTTACTTAACTTATCTTAACTGCAGATGCTTTCTAACTTGCATCCAATGCATCCAAATTATAGGCTGTATCTTTGAATTGAAACCATTCCTGTACTGATGAGTTCCATTTGACTAGTATTACTGTGATGTGTTTGGCATTGTAAAAAATATGTACAAGAAGATGTGTAAATGAAAAATCTTTCCCTTGAAGTTGATGGAGACTGACTAGATCCAGTTAACCATGACCCTGTTAAGGCCAAAAAAAAAAATATGTCGGTCTCTGGTCAGCTCGCGCGTCGATTTTATTCATGCGCGTCGATCTTTTTTTTTCCAAAATGTTCCGCGGTAGCTCCAACAGCGCCCTCTATTTCCGCACCTCATTTTTTTTTTACCAAAGAGCACCAAGGAATGGGAAATTGCACCAAGGCAAATGATTGAAAGCACCAAGGCAAATTATGGAGGACACCAATGTACATGAGGACACCAAAAAAGCAAAATAGTACCCACCTTGTCTGTACAATCCAAGCTTGAAGAAAAAAAAAAAAAAAGCAAAAAAAAAAAAAAAAAAAGCCGCGTGGCCGCGTCAATTCCGGATCTTTGGTCTGACCAGAGACCGAATATTTTTTTTTTTTGGCCTAACCTTGAAACACACAAAGTGAATGGTATACAATTATTGACTGCTTCGAGAGTTGTAGCAAAGCTATCCTCCCGAGGTGATCCATGGGGCGTTCTGGTTTCCTGAGGTAAAGCCGAGGGAAAATAGAATACTCCATGGACCACTGAGGAAGCCAGTTTCACTTCACCACGAGATAAGGCAGTCAGTATTTGTTTAATAACGCCTCTCCCATAGAGTCTGCTTCATTTAAAGGCATAACGATTAATTCAACCTAAATCCAACTAAAATGTAGGCCTACTTCTATTTCAATGCAAAATTAATTGAAAATTTACTTGCACTTTACCAAATTACCCCTTCACAAAATGTTTGGACCCAGCTCTGTAGCGCTAGCCTTACATACATATACTTGTAGGGAAGACCAGCCTCAACTCCATGGGCGCATGCACGTTCCTTCATTAACCCCTGGCCGCGATGAACATGTAAACGACGCTGACGGGCTACTCAGAGTGTACTGCGCGCATTTCGAAGACTATTATGAGCTTGCGTGCTTTGCACGTTACGTCACGCACGAACATTTTCTTTTTCAAAACTGCGCGTTGCCTGTATGATATGGATTATGGCAGCCTCGTTTTTCGCCCCAGAAAACCTGTATCTTCGGTTGTAAAGGGACGAACAAGGGTGTACATTTAATACAAATCCTTGCTAAATAACGCAACGTTGAAACCTTCTGTTTGAAAGGATTGATTCTTTAAAAACACAACTTTCAACATTTTAAAGATGGCGTCTTGATTTATATACATCGACTGCAGTCTTAATTTAAATGTGTCTTATTTTGACACATTTAAATTAGACAAATCCAGGGGTTAAGATTGCACAAGTTATGATGGGAAACAACATAGCACAGCAAGATCGTACCCATGGGAACGAGTCTGATTGAGGACCTTTGTTTCAATTCTTTTGTTCTCCTTTGTTCCTATTGAAATCTGAAACTCCATAGCATTTTCCTTATGGGGCAGATAGATTTCCAAAGACTGACTTTTGGGATCTAAGGACCCATGTGTTATGTACACATGTGCGTGTGTGTACGTGACTTACATTCACCTTAAGGACAGACAGACAAAGGGAAAGGGAGAGCAACAGTACAGGTTCTTTGTTGTCCTCGAGAGTTCATCTTTTGTTGAAAATGGTCCTCGATCGTGAGTTTGTGTGCTTGGTCTATGGGAGAGTGTAATATTATAGGGACAAAGGGAAAGACAGTGCCTTGTCCTCGAGAGTCATATAAAACACGACCGTGTGTGTGTTAATGTTGTGCAATAGGGCTGTGCTGAATACAGGGTGAGTCAAAAAAAGCGGAACCCAAACCACATATAGTATATTTCATATTTTTAAAAATGTAGCACCAAAAACAATAATGACTGGAAACCAATTTCATAAGCTACTTTTAGATGAACAAATTACTGAAATTGATCAATCCGTTCAAAGAATATTACCATTTAAACACAATGACCCTAAAACCTGTCTCGTCCAAAAATGCGATTTCAACAATCGTCGTCACAATTGTCTTCAAACATCACCAGCGATGAAATCTTAGTTTAAACGTTAACAATATGCAACAAAGTCCTTTTGAAGGCCCATCTTTTCAAAAAGTAGATTTTATAAATCATATTGTTTGCCTAACCAGGGTTGTTAATCAAAATATTGTGTACTACAGTTGGTGACAGTTGTTGAAACGAGTATTCTGTGTCATTTTCTTTGTTGTTCAAAACAGTCAAAACACACAATAAATGCTTTTTTGGACGAGACAGGTTTTAGGGTCATTGCATTTAAATGGTGATATTCTTTGAACGGATTGAGCAATTTCAGTAATTTTTTTTCATCTAAAAGTAGCTTTTGAAATTAGCTTACCATTTTATTATCATTTTTGGTGCTACACATTTTGTTAAATATGAAATATATTGTTTGGGGTTTGGGTTCCGCTTTTTTGACTCGCCCGGTATTAGAATATTTGATCGATTATCGGACTTGCCCCCCAGATTTTCCCAGGCCAACAAAAGTGTTGGGTGCTGTTGGGTCAGGTTGGTTAAGCCGAAACTGTGAGAAAATTCATGCGGTGCAATATTATTGCAGAGTTACTGTGCCTCAGTGGCGTATTCGGGGGGGGGGGGGGGGGGGGGGGGGGGGGGGGGGCACCTTGGCACCCCAGATTTTTTGAAAGATATTTTTGCAGTAACTATTTCCATAAATTCTTAGAGAGTTCTGACATGAAAAAGAAAAAAAAACCAAGCTCCCAAACCATGCACCGTGAATATCGCATATCGGCATATATATTTTCCATTTGAAGAGCGCCCCAATTTAAAATATGCCCCTCCCCCCCCTCCTGACATCAAAAGCTGGATGCGCCACTGCTGTGCCTGGTACAACCAACGTCAACACACCGCGCAAATGTGCATGTTTACGGTCATCACGCACAGTCTATAACCTGTAGGCCCACTAGTAGATCATGTTTATCAGACGGTATGATTCTGTAAGAGACGGGTTGGTTTGCCCGATGCACAACGTTAGTGTGAGTGCGTGTCACACTTTTGGGTTTCATAGTGATACCATCCACTTGATGTAGTCATGAAACTTGATAGGTAGTTTGCTGGTGAAACAAGCTTAATGAGTTTGGACCCCATTAGACAAAGGCCAAGGCCATTATAGTTAAAACAATAGAAATGGTTTTCCTGGTACAAATCAAGAAAGATTGTCATTTATCAACTTGACACTTAGAACATGTAGGTGGGTTAGTCTGGGGATCCCCAGAATCCTGTCACTTTTGGAGTTTTGATTTTTGAAACCCAGGCCAAAGGCCAAAGGTCAAGATTGTTACAGTTAATGTAGTAGAACTAGTTTTCCCAACATGTCTGAAGAAAAACTTAGCCTATCAACCTGACTTGAAAGTTAATGTATGAGTTGTTCTTAGGATTCCAAGGTCATTTTAGACACCAAATGGTGTCATCAGGATAACTAAAGTTACCTTATAATGCATGGATCCTAGAGAGAAGGATGAACAACTCAGCCAAACTCTTGACGGCCCGTACAGGTGGGAATACCATGAATACTTGTGTTAACAAAGACCCAGACAGCTTAACCGCTTAACTGCACGCGATGGCTATCAAATTTGCAGGGCTCTGCGCTCAATCTGTTCTTTAATTCCGTCAAGCCAGCTAGTTATAATTTTGAATATTCATGATCCTATATTTTTGGCCTTTATTATTGAATTCTATTAAGTGATAACCACATAACTATGTGAACACCGAGCACCATATCTTTAGCTTTATAATTAACTATGAAATGTATTGTTTTTTCGGTTTGGGACCACATCTAACGAAAACTGTCTGATGAAAGCCTAATTAAAAAACAAAATGTTGGTAAACGGTGTTCTCAGTTTGAATCTTATAAAAATAAATGAGGAATAAAAATATTAATAAAACACGTGAATAACCACATAAAAAACTGAATTACAACAAACGTTTGTTTTCGTACACACACAAAATGTAAAAAAAATAAATTCCACCAACTGGAAACCCCCCCCCCCGGCATTTTGTATCAATAAGGACAAATATAATATAAAAAAAATATAAAAAACTCATCAAAAAGGTGTCACATTTGACTTTTTTCCCCAAGTAAATACTTTGTCTATGATGACAAAACTGCACAATACCATCTGTTATATTCTGCAGTATATGTTATGTAACAATAGTGTAACAAGTAGATCTTTCCCAAGCAGTGGTTTTGCTTAAAGTTTTATGAATATTTCTGTTTCAGATGTCATGCAAAAAGCAAACAAAATGGCGCACGTGGAACATTCACGTTGTCCAAGTGTTGAAATAAAAATCTTCCAAAATGATGAAGTATATGTTCCTACCTTGAAAATCACGTATGTTCGCCTTCTTACAGCTTTTAGTCCAATATAAAATAACATCATTATTACCTCCAATAACAAAACATCATCATTACCTCCAATAACAAAACATCATCATTACCTCCAATTACAAAACAAGTGTGATATGAATGAATGTTCCATTTGGCCTGGGTTGCTCTGAGAAAACTTGATGTTAAAGGGGTGGTGTCATGTCATGGGTACAGCTATGGTTGCGGGGCATTTGTGTGTGTATAATATATATTTTTTCTTGTTTATCCAGTTACCTAAACCAGCAGTTTATCAAAAGGCAAAAAATGAGTGAAGCAGACCGAACGTTTGGCTACTCATTAGACACTGGTGAAGAACAACTCATGGACATTGGTGAGGTAATGTATGTTGCATTCCAGAAAATGACTCACATCTGTTTATCTACATTTGCATATCAGCAAATATGTGCAAAAACTAGCTGAAAATAATCACCAAAGCAGTTCATCCTCCATGCAGTGCCGTATGCAGGAGATTGCGGAGGTTGGGTTGGTGTGATATGCCCACAATCTATATGTAGCAGTATGCTAAACTCTGAAATACCTACAGGGTGTCCCAATAAACAGTGTACATCAAGAAATCGCTGTTTTTTTCAAAAGTTGGTCAGACTAGCTATCAAATTTTGTTTGAGCGTTTTTAAGCCTATGGTCTTATTTATAATTGGTGAAACAATTAAGAAAATCCACTGATGCAAACCAGAGGGATCTTTGAATTGGTAAGGCTATGTTTTTTTGACCTGCACAATGTAATTTCCATACTTAGTATTTGCTTGTACATGTATATAGAATACTGAAGTGAATGCCTCACGCGCACAAAATGTGTGTAAAAGACATTAGCGCATGATTCAGCCCATGAACCAACATAGCCTTATCAAATCAAAGATATCTCTGGTTTGCATCTGTGTATTTCTGGATTTTTTCCCACCAATTATAAACAAGACCATAGGCTTGAAAATGCTATAGAATTTGATTAGCTAGTTTGACCAACTTTAGAGAAAATCAGCGATTCCTTCATGCACAATGTTTATTGGAACACCCTGTAGTTTAAGTACTGTTAACCTATTCTGAGGGGAAGGGGTATAGTACCTCAAAATACCTCACTGCCTTCATGCCTACCATGTGTCCCTTTTGAAGTAGCCCAAAGCTCCTTTTTCCCCAAGTGTTGCAACCAACAACACAAAACAACCTTAGCTTCTGTGCATAATAGTGGTGGACATAAAGGGGTGTCTATTCTTGCTGTAGCTGAACACCAAAACCTAATTCCCCCCCCCCCCCCCAACGTTGATGGCTATAAAATAATCCAGGAACAAACTTTCTGTGAAAGTCAGTGCCACATTCTGGGAAATGTCATATCTTCAGTAGTCCACTGCAATGGAGTCTCAAGAACGACTCACTCAACTGTGCAAGAAATCCTGTATACCTTCAAACCTGATGGAATTGGAGGTCAATTTACATGTACATGTGAGCAGGTGGGGCTTGGCATCTTTGTCATTGTCAAGTCATTGCAACCAATGCAGGTCCACATTTTCTAAGTTTTCAAATTACAAAATGTATACCTAAATTTTTTCATTGAGTTCTTTTTCTTTACACGTAGTGCTTTCCCAAAGACCCCTTGTATAGGCATAGCTTCATTATATACTTGAGCACTTCAGACCTTGGGCTTTTCACACTACAACAACTCACAACTGTACGAGAGAACAGTACGCATTTCCTCTACAGGTTTTTAATCTACATGTAATTCACTGTACAGCAGAAGTATTGATCATTTGCTAGCAAAAATTATTGCCCTGCAGCTGATTTTGATTGGATGGTGTAAATTGTACATTTTCCCTTCCATCCTATGTGTTTTATTTGCTACTTTTGGAGATTTGTGTTCTCCAATACGTTTCTGCTTGTAAGGGGCACATGGAAAGGACAAATTGCTTGTCATGGAGAGAAAAAAAAGAGTCTCTTGTGACCATGGACAACTAGTGAGGTGACACACTAGAGGGTCAGTGAAATCACCCAATAAGGCCAGCAATTGAATTCCCCAGCCTGCCTGGAGGACTCCGAGTGAGAGCCAGTTTTTCTACAAATGTGGTGGACTGTGACATATGAGACGGATGTTCTTAGTGGTCACTGGCTGCTGTTTTTCTGCGGACTCGGGACTAAATGAACGTTGGCTAGGGGTAGGCTCGTTTTAATAACAAAAGCATCCGCAAATGGAAATCATAACCAGTACCTAGCTCTATACAAATCAACAAAGAGTAATATTTCAATTTTGTTATTAATTTGGCTCTACATTCTTTTTATCGAGAAACCTGACAGTTTTAAGTAGAAGAATGTTGTATTTGTATTATACTACTGGTAGGTATGTATTTGCCTTGAAGAAAGCAGATGTTTTTGAAAGGTTTAATTTGAGTGTTGATATTCTCCGCTGATTTATTATTTTGAAAGTTTACCAAAATTTGATTATTGTGACTTTAATTTGAATTTGTGTCTTATTATATATAGACAATGCACACTGTACGTTTTGCGTATCATTTGACCTGACCAATTATGTTATTGTTATTGAATTATTGTTGTTCTAGCCAGATTTTTGATTTAGTTCCCCCCTTGTCTTCACTTGTGGTTTGTAAACCATGTAAACTTTTCCCCTTCTGCAAAACTTGTTTCTTCTCTGGGTGATTGTAACATCCACTTCATTGATGGGCATTCTAGCATTTCCCATTCAGGTTCTCTACATTGTTCAATATGACATTTTGCAATTACTCACTACCTCTTTCTGAATTAACTGGAAAATTCAATGGATGTCAAGTGAAGAAATTATTGGCCTATTGCTTTCTGCAATGTATGATTGTAACTGAACTTGAAAAATGCTAATGGGCTGGTAGTTTTTCACAAATGCTACATTTGAAGTATTCTTTGTCCAAGTGCATCTTATTAATTGATATTCAGTTGTTCATTTTAATAGCATTTTTTCTCCCTGTAACATTGAGTTTTGTGTGCCTCATTCTTTCTTGCCTTGTTTCTCCTAAACAGTTAGCTCTTGATACATGGAAGCGACTAATGATCAAACCATTGAAGAAGAATCTTCATGAGTTGTTGCTTCGAGAAATTCACAGGTATGTGCAACAGCAACCATTAGTACAGTACTTTTTCAAATACCATGTGACAACTCCGCCAATAAAGATTCAGAACCTGACAGATTGTTGTTGAGGTGCTAAAATACATATTACGTCAACTTGTGGCATGCCATTACAGCTCGACCATTTCATCAATTCATGTCTTCTCATATAAAGAGACATTTGGCAACATATGGAGACTGCATTTGCCAGCCTTGTATTTCATCTGTGGAACTCCTTGCCGGATGAATTGAGAACAACTCGTCTCTCTTCAAGCATCATAAGACTCGCATTTCAGATTTTGACACACACTTCGATACACACGTTCTATATTTATACTGTGAGTCAAGATTCATGGTCCATACCGCACTCTGCGTATACGCCATTCTGTTACATCCTTGTTTTACAGGTACCACCTCAGCATGGTATCAAGTGGACTCTCATTTCTCCATTGTGTACCTTCACCAGCTCTACTCTGCACTGTTTGTCTTTTATGAGCTTGTACAGCAAAGTACTCTACATGTACTCTGTCTCTCTAACTTGCTTCTTTATGTCTTGTTGTAGTTACCACCTCGAGTGGTCCTTGACCATGTGGTTGGCAATTTCCATATTTTATCAACGTTTTAAGTCATGTGAAAATGGATAGTTTGAAAATGATAGTTTGATTATTATTAATTTATTAAAACACCTCTTCTGCAGACTGGATTGTATACAATGACATGTTATCTATTAATTCAAGTCAAATATCTGATTGTTGAGTTCATTGTGCTATTTTAAAGTGCTCTTGAATTATTTTGAACAGAGATCGGTGTGGTGAAGACACCAATCAGGCTGTACTTCATGGTGTCATTAACTCACTCGTTGATGTGGAGCGCTACAGGCAAAAGGACCAAGTGCAGGTAAGCAAAGTTTGACTGATTTATGACATTCAATTTGTATGCCCCACGGGCGAAGCCGAAGGGGTATGCTGTTTCTGCCTGGTCCTTCAGTGTGGGTGGGTTTGTGGGTGATCTTGTTATCCTATACATCGAGTCAGATGGCTTGAGGGTGAAGGAGAGTTTAGATGTTTTTTTTTGGGGGGGGGGGGGGATGGGGGCGGGGGGTGGGGGTAGGGTGCCGAATTTCAATAAATCCTATATGGCAGCTGGGTAATATATTTATTCCATATTTTGGTACATTTTCAATTTTTATGCCCCGCGGCGAAGCTGAAGGGGCATACTGTTTTCGCTTTGTCCTTCGGTGGGTGGGTGTGTGGGTAGGAGCGTGGGTAAGAACGTGTTCATCTATTCAAACCGTGGAGGAAAATAACAGAGAACAAAAGAGAACAATATCGTCCTCGATTCCAAGCAAACGTCCGCGATTGGGGTCGTGTACAAAACCAATGGGAGTCTTCCTAAAAAGTACAAACAAAAAGGGACAGTAGGACGTCCACGATCAACGGTTTGAACACGACTGTGTGTGTTCTAACATATTGGCACTTATGGGGTACTGGGAACAAAGGGCAACAATAGGGACAATGGTACCCCGCAAGTCTGTCTTTAGAAATTGAAGTACCCCCCATAGCCCTAACGTTATGGGTTTTGAGATTTCTAAGGAGACAAAGAAGAACAAAAGAAGGGGATAAGGGTCGAACAGTAGTGGTGCCCCATAAACCCTGTATGCTAAGTGCTTGTGGGTGTGTGGGTGTGTGTGTGTTCGGAAAAATCTTGTCAGCAAGATAACTTGGGATACTTAACATATGAACTTCAAATTTGGTTTGTGGATTGTTCTTTAAAATCTAAGCCTATTGCATTTGGGACGGAAAGGTCATGGGTCAAGGTCACAGTGGCTAAAACAATAGAAAACTTGTAAGCGCAATAACTTGAGAAATACTTAACATATGAACTTCAAATTTGGTTTGTGGATTGTTCTTGGTAATCCTAAGAAGCCTATTGCATTTGGGGCCGAAAGGTCAAGGGCCAAGGTCACAGTGGCTAAAACAAAAGAATTTTTGTCAGCGTGATAACTTTAGAAATACTTTACATTATTATTATTTTTTAAAATTATTATTCTTGGTTTATTAAAAACATTTTCCATCGCAGCCAAAGGCTGAATTAGGGAAAACAATACATTTGTTCAATTTACATAAAAAGTAGAATAGTCTTAGCATAAAACGACCAAAAATTAGCACACAGCGTTAGACACAAAAACAATTAAGAAGAGCGAGCCAACAATACAATTATGAAAATATGTAGTTATACGTTCAGTTAAAAAAATGTTATTAGTAAAAAGAGATATCAAAAGATTTAAAAAAAATAAAAATACTGGAAGAGTAGGACTAAACACTTTGAATTTCATTGCTTTGCAGTGCCGCAAAATTGTCATTGACAAAATAAATAGATATCTATTGAGTTGTATTCAAAAGATTGATCAGATGTGGCACGGGACTGTTCTTAAATCTGGAGGTATTGCACTTGAGTTGAGTTAATTTTGTTGAGTTCCTCAGATTGTAGCCAGATGTTGACCTTGTTTGCGGAACTAGACTCTCAAGTTTTGAGTTCTTGAGAGATTTCACAAATGCAATGCTCAATTGTTCTCGTCTATGCTCAAGTGTGAACATGTGAACTTCAAATTTGGTTTGTGTATTGTTCTTGGCAATCCTAAGAAGTCTATTGCATTGGGGGCCGAAAGGTCAAGGGCCAAGGTCACAGCGGCTAAAACAAAAGAAATTTTGTCAGCGGGATAACTTGAGAAATACTTTACATGTGAACTTCAAATTTGGTTTGTGGATTGTTCTTGGTAATCCTAAGAAGCCTATTGAATTGGGGCCAAAAGGTCAAGGGTCAAGTTCACAGTGGCTAAAACAATAGAAATCATGTATTTACATGTATTCTGAGATTATAGGGATTAGGGATTAATTCATATAAAACCTACAGAAGACACTAATGCTGTCAATGAACGTTCCATGTGACCAAGGTACATGTAAGTTGATCTTAAAAGAGTGGTGTTATGTCATGGGAGCAGTCACGGTTGCGGGGCATTTGTGTTTGTAAACACACCTGACTTGTTTTTTTAATTCAGCTTGTTTGTACATGATCCCTTCACATTCACTCACTCTTTTAAATCACATACAATAACTGTCCATCAGAAAAGCCAAAAAAATACATTATATTTATTCTGAGATCATAGGGATTAATTCATATATAACCTACAGAAAACAATAATGATGTCAATGAAAGTTCCATGTGACTCAGGTACGTACATGCAAGTTGCTGTTAAAAGAGTGGCGTCATGTCATGGGAACAGTTACGGTTGCGGGGCATTTGTGTTTGTAAACACACCTGACTTGTTTTTATTTGTTAAGTGTATTATGGGATTCTATTTACATGTTCATATCCTTACTGAAATAAAATTTTCTAAAGCATAGAAGTGACTGGATAGTTATGAGGACATATAAGAGATCCCAAATGGCTACCTTTTCCCCAGATATGACAAAGTAGTTTTGCCAAGCCTCAGTATTGATGCGCTGCAAATTCATGAAGTTACTTAACGGCACGGTTACCCTAATAGAACTGCGTTGTATATGTGGAAAATCATGTGAAAAATGATAGCATCATGATATTTAGCAGAAAAAATAGAAAAATAGAGGTGTCTTGAAATTGGACTACAAGTTTGAAGAAATCCCTCACGTGAGAGTTTATGGTTGTTAATGTCAATGTTAAAAGTTTTTTTGCGTAAGTAAATTTTGGGATTTCGTTGAACTTATTCAAGTTCCCCACATCACGCAACCTTTTGCCTGATTTTTATATTTAATATGTAAATTAACAACAAGTGCGGAAAAGCGGTATGTTCTGTTCATAAGCAGACATAGCTCTAGTTAATGTTTTTATTCATTACGATTAAGAAAACATGACATTCTGCTTCCTGTGTGTTAACCCTAATCCCTTGAGCACTTTTACTAAAAAGTATCCTGAATTCGCCAAAAATACCTATTGTATCATGCGCAAAATTCCAGTGTGTTGGTGACTGCTCAGTATGGAGGTATGTCGAATCCATCCAAATCCTGCAGTACCGCTAGGCTTACAATCCTGAATCCATCAAAATCCCCTTGTCAATATGGAGGTATCCTGAATCCACCAAAATACTCCAAAACAGGGGTGTGGATTTTCATGGATTCAGGAGGGGTAGGGTTAAAACAAACAACACAGACATTAAATGGCACCAATATCAAAAGTGGTTTTCAAAATATAAAGTGAAGTATAAAATAATGAAAACGAAAAATATCTCAACTTATTCAAAAGGTGCAATAAAAATAAATATGAAAACACTACACCTCATATATCAGTATACACACCATCCTTTAAAAAAAAAAATCTTTTAAATCTTGAATAAAAAACGATGAGAAGCAGGTGGCAAGAACATCTTGTAAAACGCTTTGTATTTTTTGGGTAGAGACACTGCCGTACTTGTGCACAGTAACCAAATGGGTGTGCAAAATCCTAGGGAGTTAGGGTTAATTGATTGATGTGGATGTCAGAACCCTCATTAATAAAACGTTCAATGATCATGCTGACAAATCCTAGAAACCTATTCAAAATTCCCTGTGACTCCACTTGGTTTGAACCAACAATTGAAAGACTATGACAATAATATCTAAGTAGATCCTTGTCATATTTTGATTGGAGGATATAACTATAAGAATATATACACAATTTGCAAGATTTATTTCTGGCATCCACCACTCAGTGTTGTGGTACTTGTACTCGTACTCAAGTACTACTTGAGTACTTTTTAAGAGTACTCGTACTCGTACTTGAATGTCAGAGTACTTGTTCTGGACATGATGGTACGTGTCAAAAATGTACTCAATCATCAAGGTACTCGTACTCGAATAGCAGTACTCGGAACAAAATGGTATAGCTTGACTTACCACGGCCTTATTGTATCGATACTTTCAGTTTGAAATGGTTGATTGGCTAGCAGAGAAATCAAAGTTTCCTGACTTTCCTCTGTGCACGTCCGGACAAACACAATTACATGTACATGTTACAGCTAGCTGTGAGGGGGTCTGTATATTGGTCTGACAAGAACCCATTCGGCATATGTGGGCACAATGGCCAATCATGTACATGAAACGCAGAGGTGTTTCTCAAAATGGTCGTTGGATTAACTTGGGTGATTGGAGCAGGGCTGTTTTATGAACCCCGGTTTCACCTCCCTATCCTGGCCCTGCCCCATTGCCAACCTGCATGAATGGAGAAAGAGACAAGCTTAAGCCAGGGTTTGAAAAACAGCCCCTAGTCTGGTTCCAGCGTTAGTCCCACAGACATAAACACAGGCCTAGGATCTAGATTGTCACGTCAAGGAAGCAGACTATATGCGTAGTACATGTACGTTACCACAAATTAAATATTAATTTCAAATAATTGAAAAATGCTTAAAAAGACGATCCCTAGTTTGTATCACAAGTACAGATAATTTTCGGCTTCAAGCACAATGCACTAGTAGGCCAACTCGTACCTGTATTGGAAATATAAGTACTTGTACTCGTACTCGGACTACAAATACTCGAACTCATACTTCGGAAGTGCAAGTACTCGTACTCGTAAGTACAACTACTTGTACTCGGAGACCTGTACTTGTACTCGGAAGTACAAGTACTCGTACTCGGAAGTACAAGTACTCGTACTCAGCAACCTAAGTACTCGGCAGTACTCGGTACTCGGAAAATAAGTACTCAACTACAATACTGCCACTGCTTTATTTTTCAGCTTGTTCAAAATTAAACAAAAGGTTTAAAAGTAAAAACATTGGCAATCTGAAGTTCTTAAAAAGCAAGTTCAGTTCGTAACTGCATCCACTTCAAAGGCAGGTTCAGTTCATGATGAAGAGGAAGCTAGCTTTAGGACTACTTTTTTAA